CGGAGCCACGGCCTCAGCGGCGCGGGCCGGAGCTCGGGCAGCAGCGCGCGCCGCGCCGGACACGCAGTCGTGAGGGCGGGGGCCCGGGGCCGGCGGGAGCTCCGCGATCACGGGCGCCGGCGGCAGCCGCGAGCCTCCATCTTGATTTCAAATGGAGAAGGAAGGAGGGGGAGGGGGGAAATCACGGCCGAGGGAACCCGGGTGAAAGGAAAAGGGAGAGCAGGGAAAGGAGAGGAAGGAAAAAAAGAGGGGCTTCGGTAATTTCCGGCGAACCTCGTCAGGGGCCCGAGCGTGGGCTCGGTGGGAGGGCGGAGCCTGGTCGTGGGCGGGGCCTGGCGAGAGGGGCGGGGCCGCGCCGGGAGGGCGGGCACCTAGGAGCCCGCGGGCGGTTGCGGGAGCGTTCAGGCGGTCTCCTTCTCCTCTGCGCAGCTCTGACTCTTGAAAGGAGCTGGAACGCTCTGACCAGCCCGGGCGGACCTCTCTAGGCCCGGCGTTGCGCCCCTGCATGGGGAGCACCGTCCTCTGAGCTCTTGTTTATTACTGATCTCGCCCGCGGGGCCGGCACTGGCATGTAATCGGTATTCTGTACTAGCTGTTGAATGAAGAGAGCGAGAGTGAAAACAGGTTATCTACTCCAGTCTGGGGAAAGTCTTCTCATCTGTACAATGAGATTCCAGACTCCACCAAAACGCAGAGAATGGGGAAGGAGATGGGGCTGGGGAGACCAAAGGAAATGAGGGGTAGGTGGCATCCAGTTTTAGGGAAGATCTGCGTCAAACGAGCACTTGACAAATCATCAGGTACAAAAACCCTAAGACGTGGCCATAAAAGAAGTGATCACAAGGATGGGTGTCAGAGGTTAAAGGATCCAATGCAGCAGAAAACAAGGAGACACAGAAACAAGATTGATTTTTTTTTAATTGGATGATGAAACCACTCTACATGTATACTGGAAATTAACGAATGAATGAATGAATGGTGGATGGTGGAAACCGGGTTTTTTACTGTTGGAGAAGTAGGTTACAGATAAGCAAAGAGGAGGAAGCTAGATGATCCACGTGGTTCTGGATTAGAGTTGGAGACATAATGTGAACTCATGCTTAGCTTAATATAGATGCAGGTGGATATGTAGAAAGATGTACAGATATGTGTGGATACATGGGTTAGTATGCATACATAGATTTCTTTGCTCTGTCAGCTAACGGGGCTTAGAAATAACACTCCAGTAGCAACGAGCACACCTGGCACTCAGATCTTGTTTTTAACGCAATTCTCCCATAAAAGGAACAAGGTCTCCCTGAGAAAATAGCCGATTCTATGACTAGGGCAAAAAATATACAAGACAAGCTTGGAGCACCTTGTTCTGCCAGAAGTAAGGAAGAACTCAAAACAAAAAAAATTTTAACCAACAACAGAAGCATTGAAGGGGGTCTGTCAAAGGGACACAGGAGCCAATTGAAAAAGCTCCCAGTGGCCAAAGCTGGAACAATTTGAGCAAGAAAATAAAGAAGTATACTTAATTGTAAACCAAAGTATAAAATAAATATACATGAGTTGATACTGATATAAATAAATGATTTAATAAGTAAATAAATGAGCCTAATTTCCTATGCAGAGGGATTCCACATCATTTATGTAGATAGTCCTCAAAACAGAAAGGGGCTGGGGAATAGCTTCACAATGGAGAAACCTAACAAACACTACTTCTGCCAGGTGATCAAGAATAACATCAATAGTGATAAATCATGTGGATGGTATGTACCCTTGATATGATGTGATGAAAATGACACTTTACATCTATGTCTTCCTCCCAAAAATACATAACCCCAGTCTCATCGTGAAAAAAACATCCAGGGGCCGGCCGAGTGGCGCAATGGTTGGGAGCTGGCTTGGGACGCCAGAGGGCCCCGGTTCGGATCCCACATGTGAGGGCCGGTGACGCTGCCCTCCACAGCTGAGATGCTGGGCAGCGGCTCAACCTGGAGCTGGGCTGCTGTGGGTCGCCGGTGATGGCGTGGGCTGCAGCCCCTGTGGCAGTGGGTTGCCATGGGCTACCGTGTGTGGCCGGTGGCCAGCGTGAGTGGCCAGCAGCCGCCGTGAGTGGCCATCCAGAGGCCGGCGGCTGGTCTGCCTCACCCGAGAGGAGCGCAGTGATGGTGCCAACTTGGGCCAGTGGGGCGGCGTCCTCCACGGCTGGACTGAGGAACGGGGGGACGGCGGCTTGTCTGTTCCCCTTCCCCCAATTCCCCAGTGCTGTTCCCATCCCCCAATTCCCCAATAAAATCTTAAAAAAAAAAATCCAACAAATCCCAACTGAGGAAGATTCTACAATCTACCTGACCCATAGCTCCCCAAACTCTCAAAGTCATCAAAAATAAGGAAATCAGAAAAACTGTCAGTCACGAGGGGTCCAACGAAACATGACAACTAAATGCAATAGTCTTAATGAGATCCTGAAATTAAAGAAAAAAAAAAGGATGTTAGGTAAAAACTAAGAAAATCTGACTAAAATATGAACTTTAGTTAATAATGTAACAATACCGATTCGTTAATTGTGAGTGGGGCATATGGGAACTCTCTGTATTATCACAATTTTTCTGTAAATCTAAATCTATTCTAAAACAAAAGTTTATTTTAAAATGTTTTTTAAAGTGTGCAGTCTCTCCAAAAGAAAAAAACGAAGTAGATCCAAATTTCATAGGCCATTAGCTCAAGTGTGCTGACAATGTTCCTTTTCCTTGTTTTTCTGTTGGGTAATTTCTATCTCCAGTGCCCATTCCTCCTTGCAGCAGAAAGCTTAATCTGGTTCATGGAAAACTCAATCTCCAGGACTTTCCCCTTTTTCTTAAAGATTTTATTGGGGAATTGGGGGAGGGGAACAGTGTTGGGGAATTGGGGAAGGGGAACAGCCAAGTTGTTGTTCTTCAATCTTTGCTGTGGAGGGCGCCAGTCACCATTTGGCTGTCCATCAGCAGCTTGTGGCCTCTAAGCTCAAGGTGCTGTGTTCAATCTTAGTTGCAGGTGGGCGTCCCATGCAGGAGTTATACCAGAAGCCTTGTTGTTAAGAGCGCATGCCCTATCCACTGAGCCATCCAGGCAGCAGCTCAGCTCAAAGTGCCGAGTTCAGTCTTAGTTGTGGGTGGGCATAGCCCACCATCGAACAGGCAATCTTGTTGTTACACCAGCTGAGCCATCCTGCCACCTGTTGGCAGCTCAGCGACAGCTCAGCTTGGGCGCTGTGTCACTGGCCCATGTGGGAATTGAACCAGAGGCCCTGTTGCTCAGAGCTCAAGCTCTTAAGCCAACTCTTAACCAACTGAGCCACTCGGCCGACCCTCCAGGACTTTTCTTTGTCAGTGAAGTACTTTCCCCCTCCTGCCTTCTCCCCAAGGCTGCAACCAAGCTCCCAGAGGCGGTGGAGATATCACAGCATGGGGTGGGGATGGAGAGGTTGCACATGATCCTTGGTGCAGATGTGTATCCCATGTCTGTCCCCCTCTCTGGCACTCCTGCCTGGACTGCAGGCATAGATTTCTGCTGGTGCATCCTCCTCACCCGAACACAGAGGCCCTCCTGAGCTACTCCCAACCACTCAGCTGCACACAGGGGTACTCACCCCCCTTCCCTTCCAACCCCACCCCAGAAAGAGGCCATGTTCTCTCTGCTCCAAGATCCCTCCAGCCCACTTGGATACAGACTTCTTTTCTCAGACAGTCACACTGGGGTCTAATGCTACCCACCGTCTCTCCCCCAGATCGCAGAATTATTTCCTCAGCAGGAAGAAAACCTCTCTTCAGTTCCATCAGGCTTTCTTCCAAATCTATTGTTTTGGGCATGATCCTTGTGTTCCTAGGAGACTCCATTTTAGTGTTCAAAAAACACTTTCCCTCCAATTATTTCCTCTGCCATGGTTTCCAGGAGTGTCTACAAACTCAGAAGCCGAAGGCTGACTTCTTTCTTCCCCTTTGCATCCCTCCTGTAGTAACCCTACCCTGGGAATACAGAGGTCCCCCTCTGTTATGTAAATGGCAGAGAAAGGTCAAGAATTTGAAAAATAAAAACTGTTGGGGGTGGAGGGGACAGGTTTGATATCATGCAGCCACAGAAAGATTGGTGATACCGTAGTGGCGTAGTGGCGTTGCTCAGGAAGTGACAACTGGAAAAGGCTAACTGGTGTGGGAGGGTTTGCAGGTGAAGGCAAGTTCTGGGTGTCAGGAGTAGCTGGAGAGGGAATGTGAGCAGCATTGACTGCTAAGGATGTTGGAGATGGGGTGGACATGGAGTGGTTTGTGTGTATTTGGGTACGAAGAGCTCTCTAGGGTCAAGACCCAGATATTGACCAATTCTTCTACCTCAGGTAGAGTCGATTCCAGGAAAGAGGTAGAGAAGACACATCAGAGTGTGGGACATGCATGAGGGCTCCCCCAGATTGCAATAAGAGAAGAGACTGTGCACAGGTTGGTTGGGGTTTTTTCCCTTCTGCCATCTGAGCATGTGGAGGGGGATCTAAAAGGGTTTCATGACAGCTGCTGTTGATCCTACCCAACCTTCAAAATCCAGCTCGAATTTCATCCCCTTTTATGATGCTCCTACAGAACTCAAATTGATCTCTCCCTTTCCTGTATTCTGCAGCAACGGTCATTCTGGCATTTGATCATGTGCTACATTACATTATGTATGTCGTTCATGTTTACTGTCTTGCCTACGAGATGAGGAAATCCTTGGCAATCAGTACACAAGCATCAGCATGTGTCCTGTGTGCCTAGAACTGTACCAGGCCTGAAAGTGTGGAGCAAAAGAAATGGCAAAAGCCAGCTGGGACAAACCCTGCACGTTACCTGCTCAATATCCTTCCTCTCCTTCTTAGGAGAACCCATGCCGGGTTAAAACACTCCGTTTCCCAGCTGTGGTGGCCATGGGACAGGGTGCTGACCGATGAGATGTAAGTGGAAAGGACTGGGCAGGGTTCACAAGAAAGGGGTCATACTCAACACGTGTGTGCCCTTTACCCTTTGCCCTTTGTCCGCTCTTCTCCAGACAAGATGCTAGAGACGAGGAGGCCACTGTGTGACTGAGAGGGTGAACATGAGGACAGAAACACGTGGTACAGGTGACTGAGTGAGCTGCCCCCCTCTGAACTTCTCGTTCCACAGAAACATACAAGAAAAAGAAGACCCTGATTTAGTGAATTAACCATAAGTTGAGTGCTCAGTTTTGTGTGGTCAAACCAGCTCCTGTCAGATAGACCAGCCATGGTTCTTTATCAGTGTTTTTCAAACGTTCTCACAAAAAAAACCCTGAAGATGGAGGAGGGTGAAGAGGCAGGTACAAGGGGTATCTTTGGGGGTCTGGGAGGGGAACCCAAGCAGCTACCACAAGACAAACATGTCTTTAAAGTTGCTGGCTTTTTCTTAGAACTGCATATGAATTTTTCTTTCTCCTTGTGTGTCTGTATTTATTTTAACATATAAATAACATCTTAACTCATTTACTAGTTGTTTGGGGTTGAATTATGCCCCCTCCCCAATACATTGAAGTATTAACTCCCCTAGTACCTTCAAATGTGACCTTCTTTGGAAGTAGGGTCGTTGTAGATATTATTAGTTAAGAGGAGGTCATAGGGGAGCAGGGCAGGCCCCTAATCCAATGTGACTGGCGTCCTTATAAGAAGATGGCCAATCTGAGGCAGAAACACGCAGAATGTCACGTGGAGATGAAGGATTGGGATGATGCAATTATAAGCCAAGGAACGCCAGACATTGTCGGAGGACCCCCAGAAGCTAGGTAAGAGGCAAAGAAGGCTTCCCCTACAGATGTGCGAGGGCGCATGGCCCTGCTGGCACCTTGACTTCAGACTTCTAACCTTCAGAACGAAGGCGATGAATTTCTACTGTGCTAAGCCACCAGTGTGTAGTGCTTAGAGTTATGGCAGCCTGAGGAAACACTCAAGTTAATCTAGCCCTCCAAATTTTTGAATGAAAGTGTCATTCTAGAGAGAGATTTACTTATTAATCTTATAGATAATACCTGATAGGTGCTTAAGATAAAGAAAAAAGAAAGAACCCAGAGGCCTGTGGAGAGTTTTAATATAGGGTTGTGGGATTAAATTGATGTTAATAAGGACATACTATAGAAATGTCCAGATTGGACGTCTGGCCAGAGTTGGAACTCTAACTTTAAGCTAAAGGGCATAAAGATACCTGGAGCTAGTTTACCAAGCAGATGCGTGTAAAAAATGAGTAAGGAATGGGGCCAAGGACTCGGCCGTACAGTGGGAAACTCTGGGTAGAGATGTCACCTGAAACGTCCTGGGAGTACCCAGTTTGTCCTGGGGCAGATTACGTAGCATGTGGAAGGAGAAGAGTGGACCCCCAGGGACCAGGGCTCGGAAGCCCAGGCCATGCTAAATCTGCTCACCAATGACTCCAAGTGAACCCAGCTTCTCGGATTCCTTTGCTAATCCAGTAAACCAGAAAGGTGCAGGCCGGAGCACTGCTCGCCCTGCCCTGAACCCATATTCACAGGCATGGCCCCCAGGAATGGCTGACTGGCCTTGGAGGCTGATGGGTAAGAGTCTTTTATTCTAGGCATTGTGATAGCGCTGAATATAGAAATCAAGCAAAGAGGCTCTCTGGGTGAGAGGTGGAAAAGGGAATTGGGTGGAATGAGCCTAGAAAAGGAACAGAGGATAGAATTTGGGAGCATTTGAGGTGCATAGGGGGCAAAAGTGTGTGTGTGTGTGTGTGTGTGTGTGTGTGTGTGTGTATGTGTGTGTACATGCATACGTGTGTCTGCACACACACTTATGACTGCCTGCTTTCGGGCTGGGAGTTGAAGACCTTGATCTGATAATAAGGAAACCCAATAATACCGGAAGAACAGATAAAGGCAGATCTGGCTTTGAAGTGAGCTCACATTTGGAAGTGGTAAAGTTTTATTATTCCTGGGAAGTAAATGACAAGGGTGTACAGGAGAAGTGACAATATCTATATTTGCTGCCTTGGCTTCAAATTGATCAATGTTACAGGATCATCGCTTAATAACTGCTGATTCTCTCTTCTTAGCCAGCAACTCAAAGAATTCCAAATTGAGCCCCCAGCCCAAAATATGCAGAATCTGAAATTCTGCCAGGTAAGACTCATTCACTGTGATCCCGGCCAACTTTTGGTCTTCAAGGCTTCTTGTTAAAGGATAAATACCCCTGAGAGCGCTAACACCTTAAACCTTAATGCCTTATAGAAAGGATTAGTGGATTAGCCCAGGGTTGGCCTGAAGTAATGAGGGATAAAAAAAGGAAAAGAGCAATGGAAGGCACCAATAAAAACAGCGTCTACGTTGCTTTTCCCCAGAGCTTGCCTTACTGCGTCTGTCTAGTGTAGATCCTGAGAAAGGTCTGACCCTGGTTCATTTGCAGGGATGGTGAAGATTCTCGTGGATTACTCACTGAAGGCTTCCATTGCACGCAGAAAGCCTTACAAAGACTCTGTGCCCAGTTTGGGGCTGTTCTAGAAAAGCCTTGATTTATTTAAGCAGCAAACATTTACTGAGCCCTACTACTCGTATACAGCAGACAGTGTTTTAATCTACAATGATCCAAACAGGCAAAAATGCTTGCCCCACAGAGCTTACTTTCTAGTGGGGTGGGGAAAAAGACAATAAACAGATAAGTAAAATGCATAATGGTCCAATGATAAGAAAAGTACAATAGAGAAGAGTTAGACAGGAAATGGAAGAAGGTCGCAGCGAGTTGCAGTGATGTGACATTTGAGCAAAGATCAGAATGACAGAATGAGCCAAGTGGATGTCTGGGGTATGGGGAAGGAAGCAGCCAGTGCAAGTGAGGCAGTTCAGAGGGCTAGGCCATGTGAACAGCATAGAGGAGGGCAATGTGGTGGGTGTGGGGCAAAACGGGAGATGCTTGGTGAGGTGCAGGAAGCTCATCGTGTAAAACCTCCCGGGTGCTTTGTGAGGACTCTGCTTTCTAATCAGAATGAGATCACAGGTGTAGATTATTGTGTGAGAAGATTCTAAGTGAGTTAAGGTTGAAAGTGGGAGATTATGTGCACTCATTGAAAACCTTAGGAAGTAAAGCAGAAGTTTGCAAAAAGCTTTGTAAAAGGCGGTGGTGAAGAAAGCCTTAACTAGAAACCAGCGGCTGCCGTCTCCCAGGGTGGAGGTTCCGGAAGATGCCTGGAGGCCATCACACCAACTAATGGGACCTACGCCCAAGGAGAGCTGGCTGGGAGAGCGAGGATACCCACCTGCAGAAGGGAGGCTGGGGCTGTCCTGGGTGAGTGGACCGGTCATGGCTACCCACCTCAACCTGACCAGATGGCTTCTGCAGCCACACTTAAAGGACATCTGCCCTCACAAGCCCAGGAGCCCTGCCTAAACACTTCCATATCTTCCCACCCACTTGCCTGCTCTGAGTGTCTTAGAGACACGACAAGAAAACCCTTCTTTAAGAACACCTTCGCCTCATTTTACTTCCTGTATATCTCTGGCCTCAGAGAAAAATCAGAGCCTACACAAAGCAACAAGAAACCCCAATTCATGAACTGGGTTTCTTTTAGAAAACCACTATAGTTGACTATCTTCTAGAGATGACCAGGTAGAGAGTGTCACAGAGGGAAAAGACGCTCCAGTAAGAACTGGTTTTCAGTGCCCGCTCAAACCCTGACTAGCTGGGTGACCCTGGGCAAGTGAGATAGAGAAATAAATGTTGCTGGCCTGACCCTGGCCTTCCGGAACCACCTGGCAGATGTTCCCGTCCAGGGAAGGCCGCACATGCAGTCACTGCTTCTACCACGTAGCCCCCATCTGCTCCCTCCTCCATCCTGACCTCCCTTCTTCTAGGGGTAAGAACGCACCTGAGACAAGTCAGACTGAACTCATACGTACTTGAATTAGGAAACTTGGAGAAAGGAGACAAGAAGTGGGACACCTGGGCGGCAGAGGATGTACAGGGAGCGGGTGGGAGAGACAGCCCACCTGGAGTGCTGCCCTTATTCTGGTGTGTGTGCTGGGTCGCTTCACTCACCTCCTACAATAAGCCTTTCTGGAATCACCTCAGGGGCCTCCAGCTAAAAGCACTCGCTGGAAAGGAAACCAGCTCCAACTCTTCACAACCTCAGAGAAGCAAGGGAAGGAATTAATATCTATTGCTTGAAGTATATTATCTGGACTTTTCCAAAGTGATGGGATGGGCATTTAAAGCCATTTCAAAGCCGTGCCCTCTCATTCGTTTGCTCCTCTCCATCCCAGTCTCCACCTTGGTGACATCTTCCCAGATCCCTGGTCTTCTTGCCTTCCTGTTTCTGCCACTCTCTGACATTATCTAATTGGTGTCCCTGTATATTTATCTTCCCTGAGGAGAAGCCAATGATACTGAAGGGGAGACCATACTGAACTACAGGGGAGCAGTAAGTCACACATGATTGGAGCTCCCCAATTCAGAACGTTCAGAACTACCCAAGACAGAATATGTCCAGATTATTCTACCCTGGAGCCCTACAGAAATAAAGATTTAATATTCGCTCTGCCTTTCCTGGGACTCACATGCATTTGAAGATGCTGGCCTTCTGTTATTTAGTTTCCCTTTAATAAATAAAGACCCGTGTGCTAGCTGTTTTAGAATTTGGTAGTAGGAGAGTTTGTCTCTGACAGATGGTTGTGCTTCCTTTTAGGAGCTAAGGCAAACTATGGAACTCACCATGTTTCTTTTTATTCCTTGGAAGCCAAGATGCTCAGAATGAAGTTATGTGCTTATTTGAGACCCTGTCTTATAGTGGTGAGTTAACAAGCCAGGGAAAGTTGAATATTTATGATAATGGGACATTACCTTTGTCTCTGCAGGTGCTTGAGGCTAGGGAAATCTGGGGAAGCGTCACAAAAGGGGTAAAAGAACTGGGGGAGGAGTCACCTGTCTCAGGGAAGGGCTCTTCCTCTGAACCTTCTCCACTCACTTCAGCGTCACCCCAACCATTACTCCTTTGCCCATAATCCCATTGACCTTCCCAAAGTACAGGGTCGTTGTCGCTGCCACTCCTCAAAACCTCTGATTTGCTCCTTGTCCTTTAGAATGCTCTTCAGACTCTGCATGACATTAAAGATCCACCTTGTTAGAGTCCCACACCTCAGAATCTCTTAAAGCCTTTATTTTAAATCCACATTTTGGAGGCTGCTCCAAGCAAAACGTCCCAGGGTGTCCCAGGCGCCCCGCAGTTCCAAGGCCCTGATGTCCATACCTGGTGTACGATCTGGGCAGGAAGGCCCCTGGAATGCCAAGACCCAGTCAGACCAGGACCTCAGCCTCTTATACATATGGGGCTGAAGGGGTACAGCCAGAGAGCACCCACTGTCCCATAGTCTTCTGCTTAACTTGTGCTCCCCAAGGAGCTTTTGATCTTGATGGTCAGATACAAGCACCCCACTCACCAACTCTATGCTTTCTCATCACTTTTCAGAATCATTCCTCCTCGCAATCCAATAGGACTCTTAATGACTGTCTTTCCCACTGGTTCCTTGAGAGCCGCGACTAGCCCATTTGTTCTTTGTGTCCCTATTCGCCACTGCTTCACAGATTTAGTAAGTGTTCAAAACATGACTGCTGAAATAACGAATTGCAAAATCTGACTTTCGTCACTTATTTTTATGTGGGAACATTAGTCAAGTGATTGCCTCCCACAAGACAATTTAAAACTTTCCTCCAATTATGCAACTGAATGTTCTAAAGAGGTTTCCCACATTTGCAGGCCCGGAGGAGGTTTGGGGAGCCGTGGAGGCCCTTTCTGAAGCCATAGAACCACACGAGCGTCCTCGAGCACCCCTTGCAAGCCACAGCCCTTGCCTGATGTTCCCCTTGGAAAAAGAAAGAGCAGAGTAAAACCTACCAAGCCAAGGCTTTTGAGTGGCCGCTTTTAACCCAGCCCAACCACTCTGCTTTTCTTAGCATCTCTCTTTTCCTTGCCCCTGATTATGGCCTCCAAACCAGCAGCCAAAAATGTAGGATGTGGGAACACTTGAGTAAGAGAGCAAAATCAGAAGGGTTTCAGCCTTTCGGGAGAAGGAGCCTTTTGTTGGTGCTGCTGCTGTCTTCTTTCTCTCTTAAATCTCAAGATTTATCAGGCATTAGCTAAATTGTTTAATAGATATTTATTGAGCCCTATTGTGTGCTAAGTATGGTGCCACTAATGATTTTATGTGGTGGGTCATCATCTCCATTTCAGCGGTCTTTATTTCTTTAAACATTTGTGCCTGTTGAAAAAACTTTCTTCAAGGCTAGTGAGGCATCACCTTGTTTATGTGAGCTTACATTCTGTGGCGGACTCTGCTGGAACTCACCAATGCCCATTTTTCCCCTCTTTGAAGGCTCATAGACTACAATTGCCAGACGTCCTTGCAGTTACATGGGACCGTGTGACTACATGCTGTCCAATGGGATATGTTTGTGAACCTCTATTCTCCACTCTCCTTCCACATCAGCCTTGGAGCTACACGTCCTAGATGGTAAAGGTACAAGATGAAGCAGAGTTACCAACCTGTGACAGACTAAGACATGAGTGAAATATACTTTGACTTTTGTTAAGCTTCTGAAACGTGAGGGTCTATTTATTAGCAAAGCCTTTTGTGTAATATATATTCTTTCTTTAATTTAATGGTGTTTTTTGGTTTGGTTGATTGGTTGGTAGGTTGGTTGGTTTAAATCCTTTCTAAAGAGCTCTACATTTTATTTTTTTCCATTTTATGAATCTGGTTCAATGAATAATCTTGAAAAAAAAATACACATGACCTAGAGATTGATGCTGTTTCGCACCTTTCCATGACCTGAACCCACGTAGTTTCCTTGTAAGTCTACTGGCCCCAAACCTCACAAAACACATTTTCATGTCTTTACTTTTTATAATGTTCTCTAGGGAGTTTATCAAGACCTTTTTAAAGCTCCTCAAGTTTGGATTATCCTAAAATGCACTTACAAAATTAAATTAAACTCTACAGACACTAGCCTTACCCTACTGGGGTAGTCATCGTAACAAAACTTGAGAGAGTTGTGTAGCCTGGCTGTCTTCACTTCCTCACCTCCTGTCCTCTCCCTCGCCTGTGGCGGGCTGGCTTTCCTCCCCACCAGCCCACGGAGCTCACTCTCACCCAGCACACACTTTGCAGTCCTCTATTGTATGGGTGTGAATGGGAGGGTTGAGAGTATGCGTGTTCCCAGGCCCAATGTTTCCTTCCGTGTGGTTGACCTACCTGATTGGCGACTTTTGGAGCAGGAGATGGGCAGGCTCAGTCTTGCTGCTCGTTGTTTTCCTCTTGGGAGCAGCTGCTGCCCAGAGCTCACATTGGGCCCTACTCCCCGTCCATTGCCCACGTGGGAGCCCCGCGATGGTCCAGCACTGCNACTATTTCATCGCTAGCTGGCTGTGGAAAAGTCACTTGGATCTTTCAGAATATTACTTTTCTCATCTATGAGAGGCAGTGAGCGCTTCCAGCTGCATTAATTTATACATTTATGTGACACTGAATTTCATTAATTCTCAGAGAGCTCCCCTGGGAGAACAGGTGGGGCTATCTTCAGCTCCCCGGGATGTGACATGGTTTGTGTGTCCATGATGACTGCTCACTTCTGGTCAATGATCACCGTGAGCCAATGATTAACACTTGAGTCAAGCGGAATCCTCTGGTATCTTAAAATCTAGCACATAAAAAATAAGTCATTTGGGAAATAGTTACAAAACATAGTTTTAAAATCTAAAGGGAAAGATGTGGGTGGAGATGGAAAAGCAGTGGGCAGCACAGAATTTATTTTTTTCTTTTCAACTAACCTGTGCTTAGGAAAGAAAGGTAAGACATTCAGCGTTGCGTTGCTGGCTCCTGACTGAACAACACAGATTCACCGTTCAATCTGTACGTACGTTTTATTGCTTTTTTTAAAAATGAGGATGTAAATGGCATGAGGGCCTTCAGGTGTAACTTTGAAAAAATGAACTGGTTGTGGTTTAAATCATAGAGATTAAAAATGGTGAGATGGTTTTGTCTTTGTTCGAGGGCCTACGTTTCTGTGCTTTGGTTAGTGGAGATTAGTCACAGCTTGTGAGTAATTTGAGGAAGGAGATAGCTGGACTGTTGTTTATTTATTTCTTTAATCTGTGAGAGGTTTCTGTAAACATATGGCTTCTTTAAAATTTCCAGGTCTACAGGAAAAACACTGGAACTAATGGGAGATTATGGGCACACCTCCCCCTACTGGGCATAATTTGCTACTGCTTACTCTATGGTCTGCTGACAAAGGCGTGTGATGGAAGGTTCCTCTGGAAACAGAAAACTTGGGATTTTATCTCTTGTTCAGGAGGTAGGGAAAAATAAAGGTGTGTGTGTGTGTGTGTGTGTGTGTGTGTGTGTGTGTGTGTGTGTGTGTGTGTGTGTGTGTGTTTTCTACCACACAGGAAAAATCATCATAGCTANTTTTTTGCTGTGGGAAGAGGTTTAATAGATGGTTTGTGATATTCAGTTACCTGCCAATGTCATCCATGGCTTACAAGTTTGAGAAATCTCATCTAAACTAGCCCTTAATGAGATTATAAAGCCACAGATTGTATTGGTGATTGCTTCATCAATACTTGAATGTAACATCGCCTTTTTACTTATCTCCCTAAGGATGTAACTCCAAGATCAAAAATAAGCAGGGAATTCCGTGAAGGCAGGGAAGGGAGGGCCGAAGGTCCAGTGGACCCTACTCATACTGTAGCCTATGTGACAGGTGTCCACTGGCTCACAGCATATGTGGTGTCGCCTGGAGTTATGTGACCTGCAGGCTATGGTGGACCTATTCTGTAAAGTCAAGGAAAGCAGGACTGCCTGTACTTCCTTAAGAAACAAAAGAGGTTTTAAAGAGAAAGTAAAGTTACTCAAACTCTAAAGGTCACTGAGCTGGCTGTATTAGTAGAATAAGTAATGAAAACACTCCAGTGAGAGGCTTTCTATTACGTAAAAGAAACCCCAAGGCAGGCAGTTCAGGGTGCATGTGACATCAACCTCTCCATCAGATGTACATGTTCCTTTTATCTTTCTTCCACCACCCTCAGAGCATGGCCTCCGTTTCTCAAGGACCACCTCGAGATACAAAATGGCTGCTGGAACGCCAGCTATCATGTCCCCATCCCAGGCAAGAAGAAGGAGGCATGGGAGAACAGTGAAACAGCACCCTTCCTAGCTGAGTCAGCCCTCTCCTAGAAATGTTTCCAGGGGCTCTGTTCAATAGGTTCCATTTACATCTCATTGACCAGCTTAGAGTGGAGAAATTGTTCCTAGAATGTTGGGTGCTGAACCCTCTGTGATGAGGCAGACTGCTCCAGGGGGGCTGCAGTGAAAGCCCTGTGTAGGCTGACACTTTGCCCTCTAAGCTCTTTTGAAGTCAAAACCCATCAGATATAAAATATCTGAAGTCCTTAATTATCATGACATTTCAAGTCTTAAAAGTAGGGACTCTTCCTCTGAATTCAAATAAAAATTATAAATATTTAAACAGCCTTTGTCTTCTTCCTCCCTTTCCAGTTCCCTCCCANTGCCTGGGAATTCTTTCCCCCAGGAAGCCTCCTGCCCTTGACAGGGGCACCGCACTCTCCAGATTCCCTACAACCTTGCCTACATCAGCCCCTTCCTTGTCTCAGAGTCTGGTTCTAAGAAAGATGACCCAAAACAACAATAATTCAAGAAGAAGAAGAAAACGTAACATTCACGAGCAGCTTGTTAAGTACCAGGCACAGCTGTAATGGGTGAAACAGGGATTATTATTATCCCCGTTTTTCACTTGGGAAACGGAGACACAGAAGGGCTCAATAACTCGCCTTTGTACGTTTGAAGACTTAGTCCCAACTTGAATTAGGCGTTGCTGACTGTCCTCCCCAAAGGGCCTGGAACTCCTTTTGCTGTCCTAGCTCCTGGTGTCAAGACCGACCTATAAGAAAGTAGCAAAGACCAATCCTGGGAGCAGAGCAGGTTGGGAGCCGTGAGGGGAGCAGGCTGGGTCAACCCAGCCCAGTGTGGAGGGAGCAAAAGCAGAATCAGGAAAGATTAGCAAGGAAGGCCCCGCATACATGAACATGGTTGAAAGAGGCAACGTTTGAGTTTGCCCGAGGCCTGGCTGCCGAAGGCGTGCTGAGTAGAAGACAGTGAAAACCAAGACCCTCCCTGCGGAAGCTGCATTCAGGCCTTTGTGGACAGCCCTTGGTCTGGCTCTAAGAGACACCTCTTTTGATCTTCAAGGAGCTGAAACTGGAGTGACATGTGATGCCTAGTTCCTTTGGTAAGATAGTTTTGCTTGTAGAAGTGGGATGATTTAATGTAAATCCAGAGTTTATGTTAAAACATTCTTTTGGTTTAGCTTGAGGAAGATGCCCAGTCCATATTTGTTTGAACAATAAGTGAATGAATGGATGAATGTGAATGAACAATGTCCCCTGAGGGCGAGTGAGCTCTTTCAGAGGCCTACGCCATTGGAGACAATGACAGTATGATGAGAATGACATTCCTGGAGGTTCAATCCAGTTCAACAGATGTCAACAGAACACCTGTGGTGTGGGAGGTGACAGGCTGAGTTATGCAGGGAGTGGATGCACAGGTAAGGGGAGGGAAGGAGACAAGCCCAAACAGGACTGGGGCTCTGAGCAGAGAAGGTAAAAGTCTGAAGAGGTGGCAGGCAAGAGTCACGTAGGTGCCAAGAGCAGGGCAGGGAAAAGCAGGAAAGTCAATCCGGAGGGAGTGGTATTTGAATTTGCCATGAAAGAAGTAACATTTCAATAATAGGGGTGTGGGGGTGGAACCTGAGCTGGGATGGGGGGAGGCGGGGGTGGACAAAGCTGAGCAAACCAGGCCAGGAAGCTCAAGGTGAGAAGTCTAGTCTGATTGGAACTAGGGAGAAATGTTGGAAGATAAGGTTCGAAAGAGAGGTTGATTGTGAACTTAAGAAAAAGAAATTTCATGATTGCGATGGGCTTGAACTGATCTATTTACATATTCTTGCCTGGGCCTCACTGAGAGGCTGAGAACTGCGAGGGGTACACAGGATGATTGTGACTATAAATCCAACAGAGGCGGCTTCACCCATGCCCTGGATCCCATGACAATTTTCTCATTGGGTCTAAGTATGTTTGAATTCAAATAGCCTTAGAAGGTATAAAAGGGTATGAACTAATGACAGCTAAGGCTCCAAACGTAACCTTGGCAACCGTTAAAAAAATAAATTGAATATTACCCTGTGCCCAATTAAACATAGAATAACAGTGTGGAAATGGAAATTTATCTGCAGCTGGATAGCCTCACTGCAGGTTATGACAAAGCTGAGCGTGGCGGTTCATATTTTCCAAAAATGGCTGCAACATGTCCCTATCCCACGTGCTTTTCAGCAATATGACCTTCCTGCTCCCCATCAGGAGGGGCCATGTATTTCTCCACACCCTGGAATCTGGGTGGGCCCCATGTTTGCTTTCATCAATAGGATACTGTGGAAATAGCGTGGCCATAGTTGTGAAGAAGCCCTTCACTGGCCTGGCAGCTTCTGCTTCCTGCCCTTTGAAATGCTCACTCTGGGAATGCTCCCCTGGAAACCCAGCTGCCATGCTGTGAGAAGCCCACCTCACAGGGATTGGCCCACATAGGTCAGCAGCCCCCCCGTTGGGCCATCGTCACTGGGGGCCATGTGAGAGGACCTTAGAGGAAGTTCAGGTGACTGCAGCCCCAGCTGACATGATATCAGGTTGCAACCACCCGAGAGGCTTTGAGCAAGAACCACTCAGCTGAGCCTAGTCAAGTCGCAGAACCGTGAGAGATAATGCTAAATGGCTATTTAAGCTGTTAGGCTTTGGAGTGGTTCGTTACTCAGTGACAGAACCCCGGAACACGAAGATTAGGATAGTTGCAGATGCAGGCCTGTGGTTGTGAAGGGAGAGAGGCAGTGAAATGTGAGTGGTCAGGGGACATCTGACCCCACAAAAGGCAAGATAGCCCAGGTAAATGCCTGTGGCATGGATTGTAGCCGTCACCTTGAGCTCCAGCTTTCTCACTCATAAAGTGGAACTAAATCCTCTCAGGGTGTTATGAGGATTAAACAAGGAGGCGTGAATGAAGGTACTTTACACGCTATGAGCCTCCCCCGGAAGGTACTATTATGATTTCCTACAGATGGTCAGCTGGCTGGCTGTCAAGGGTTTGTTAGGATGTGAAGGTGGTATGTCATGAATGGGTTTCTCCTTGGGATTGTCTGCTCAGAGCAGCCCCCCAAAGGCAGCTCCTAAACCACAATCACAGAGTGGCCCCGGCAGTCCTCTAAAGTTCTCCTCATTCATCCGTTCATTTCTAATTCATTCAGCAATGACTTGGCTGTCAATTACATGCCAAACAGGACTGCAGGCACCGGGCACAGAGCAGTGAACAGCCCTCAAATACCCCTTCCCTTATGGAGCCTGTAGTCTAGTATCAGGGTTTATGCTAAAACTATGGCCAGCAGTTTAAGCATTGGGGGGCGGTATGCTATGGCAGTTAATTGTATGTGTTCAAGGGTCANTTTGTTTAGTGGCTAAAAACTCTCTCACAGACAGTGCTGTGTGATCTCGTGCATTGTCATGATGCAAGAGCCATGAATAGTTGGTGAAAAGTTCAGGTTGTCTAACTTTTTTGCGCAGCCTTCTCAGCACTTTCAAGTAGTAAACTTAGTTAACTGTTTGTCCAGTTGATGCAAATTCATAATGAATAATCCCTCTGATATCAAAAAAAGGTTAGCAACATCATTGCAACAAGTTCGCGAACCTAATTGTCAGGCCTCACCACAGCACTTTCTATATAACTGCCCTATATATCAGGACACCTGCCAAGACTCTTCCATGCTAATTGTCCTTTATGTTTTTGCAATTTACTCCATCCTGGACGCCAAGCTCTGGCCCTCACCCACGACCATGGCCTCAGGGCAGCATGAGCAAGCTTCCTTCTTCTTTAGATGGTCTTCAGCCTGCAAACTAGACTCTCTTATCACAACGTCCTTCAGGTGTTCCTTTTTCTTCTTCGGGTGTTTCTTTAACTGTGTTAGAAGAGCTGTTAAGATATGTTAGCCCTAGAATTCCACCTATGGGGGTGTAGTAGAGGTTTGTGTGTTCATCTCTGTTTTAACCCAATTTCCCTTGCCTCTTTTTAGGAGCTGTTGTTTTAGGAACTGCAACCTCCTCCAGCCCGGAGTAAAAATCAAAAGCATTAGGTTGAGCCCATCCAGCATGAGGTCATTCCCAGTTTTAGTCCTGGACAGTGCTAAGTGGACCCCGTTCATGCCAACACCCAGGCTGACCCTGAGCCCTCGTGGTCCAC